AAAAAAATATTCGAGCAACCTCTTCTGCTAGAAGAAATGAACAATATCTAACTGTACGCAAAAAAATAACGTGCAAGGGTTGAGCCAAAAAAATAAATATCATGCAACCAAAATTCCTGCAACCCCTCATCAATTCAGAATGACCAAACAAGATTCATCCCATTGATGCAGAGTCGTAGTTGGTCCATATTCCCATGATCATTGTCGGTCTCACCTTTTAGCTTTCTTGGTGACTAACTTGAAATATTGAAATAAGTATGTACACAACTACTTGCTTAAACAATTCTTAGTTTATGACTTTGTATGACGTGATCGATTAATGTGTCTATTAATGCATAATTTCACTGTTAAACTGATGTTTTTTTAAATAAATATTATTGCTGTATCAATATATGTATCGTGTGTGCAAACAAATTCGACTGTGATGGTAAACAAATCGCCCCCAAAATGCGTAACTGATGAAAATTCGGCAACTTTAACGTCAATCAAATATTTTACAATAACTTGCGCGCTGATTGGTTATTTTTTATCATCAATAAGAGGACAGACAGATAAAGGTGACGTCAACGAGCGCGCACTCTTTCCGTTGGTTGTTTTGATCACTAAAAATGTTTTTATAGTTTTTATTATTGAGAAAAAAAATAGACATAAGTTTTTTATGTGTCTGTCATCTTATTGACGATAAATTTCGTCATCGCATCGTCAAAGTAGTATGCGGCACGAATCGTGGATCCACACTACTTTGACAATGTGTTGACGCAATTTATCTTCAATTAGAGGGCAGACACAAAAAACTGATGTTGATTTGTTAAACAAACAATTTCGATTGTAATGGCAACAAATTGGGATAAAAAAAGCGCGATTGTTTCATGACATTTTGACAACTTTAACGTAAATTAAATAACTTTGTTGCGACGAAATGAAGTGAGAGAACTTTAGTGAGTTCTTCTAGGACACAACATTCTTCGTACGTTTTGCAGGTAAGGAAGATTAACAAGTCCAGCTAGAAGCTTAGGACTTGTGGGTGATAGTTAAAGAAAATTTACACGGAAATGGACAATGATGCCTTGCAGACTGCAACCTTTTCTCTAAAGTTTCGTCTGCACGCTGGGATTTGTCGGCGCGTGTAGGTAGTCACTGTGCCCCATTCAAGCCCGAAAAATCGGGCCGCCAAAAGAAAGTATGTAAGGCAGTGCAACAGATTGTGATAACGTTAGAGGAAGATGAGAGGTTGTCCTCTTGTTTCTCACGGTTAATTATGTTAGCGTACAATTATTATGCCATCATTGTGGGGAAAGTTGTAAACGACATACCTCTTTGAATGACCAAAAACAAAAGAGTTGGGATACTCATTCCAGTGAATTTGGGCAACAATTACTATAATAATAATCCTTTACCCCTACATGAAAAAGCCTCAACACGCAGACACATCTTCCGATCTACCTGTTGGCATTTACCTCTCTTGCTTTGTCTACTACACCAGATATCAGTCCATCTCACTTCTTGCTAGCATCGATATTTTTAGGTGACCAACTCAGGCATTTGACTTGCGTGATCCAGTCAGTTTATTTACGATGATCATGAAGTTCTCAAGGGGTGTCCTTTCATTCATCATCATTGTAGCATTAACAGGCAAGTTTTTTTTCTTCAGCCATACAGACATGAGGTCACATACTAGTCATAGTCTGCTCTTTAATCACTGGATAATTTACTGACTATGAATGCGTCGTCAAGAACAAAAGTTGTGTAATACAATAGGACCTCTTTGAGTTCCATCTGGGGTTCTGGGACATATTCATATAGTCTGATCCTCGCCATAGTACTTCGTATACTTATTAAAACATTCTGTATTTGTTGCAGATACAAGTGTATGTAAGGAAAGGTAAATAACATGCTTTTCATGTGCGTCTGATATCATCAAGACGATTTATACATGTCACCCTTCTTTGTAAGATCTTGTCGATGAAAAACACTGGCCGATCAATGGCCAGAGGTGGTTCTATGAATGGATTCAATGAATCTTCTTTTGTAAGATGTTGTAAAGCCGTTTATGGTCTTTACGCTCGGTAAATTAAATCAAAACCTCCTTTTGTGAAGTCGATGGCGCCAGCTTTTATTTTTCAGTTTGGCGGCCATTTTGGAACCCCCCCTTTTTAAACCCTAGATTCACCCCTGAAAAAGGGTGCAAGGCGTTTGCACAGCTGTCTGCGAGTGGGATGCGCTTCCAACTCCTCTTTTCATGCTTGCCGTTAATTCCTTGCCTCTCTCTTACTCTCCCTCTTATCCCCTTCCTTGCCATTTTCTTCATACTCTACATTATATATAAGCCCACGCCGTCATTCAGAACACAAATCAATCGTATAATTAATTAATATTTCGTAATTAAATAATTATAATTTACATATAGATCACATAGATCAATGCGCCAAGAGCCGATCATCCACGATGTTTACACACTTGACCATTTCATCGAGTTGGTCGAGAAGATTGAGCAACATCCAAAAACCAATACCAAGACCTTAGCAACAATAGCTAACTACATAAGGGAACTGATGGGTAATCGAGACGAGCAACTCTGGAACGTATTGCTGCCTGGTGAGTCGTAAAAATAGATAACCTTGGAAAGAGCCTGGATGGGGGGGGNGCTTTTTCATGTAGGGGTAAAGGATTATTATTATAGTAATTGTTGCCCAAATTCACTGGAATGAGTATCCCAACTCTTTTGTTTTTGGTCATTCACGTGTTTATTAGGATCTGTAGCAATCAATTGCAGCTCTTCAAGCTTATATCCGCCGATGCCCACAGCAATCATCGTTAAACCTAATGAGTTAAAAGGTAAAAGGAGAAAATGTAACTATATATAGATCGTTTAAAACTGGATCAAGTTGGCATTGCATTGCATTGTGAGACTGTTTTGKGGAACTATTACACGCTGTCGTTAATTTTGTCCCCTAAAACAATCCCATTATGCATTGCAATGCCAACTGACCCAGTTTCCCCTCAAACCTTGGAATGGCTATTTCGATGGCTGTGTGGCAAGATGTTTTGTGACATAAAGGAACGTCTGGTATAGTCTTGGTATAAGGCCAATAACTTTGAGGGACTGATCAATATGGTGTCGTTAATACAGAACCGCACATGTTCAAGTACGTTATATCTTATACACCTGTTGCGAAAAGCCGTTSACCGGGGAACTGAATATATATTTGAAATCTGGGGCCACGGGATATCCGCGCTGCTAATTGTAATATATGTGTTCGTGTTATATATTTTTAGATAATTAATAATGTAGATGAAAGGCCTACCTTGGAACTTGCACCACTCACTGATTAGCACTGTACCCTCTTCCATTACTTTAATGTTAATCCATTTATATCTCAGTCCTTATGAGTGCAAGGACCTTGGAGTGTTTTATGCAGGGCGCTTAAACCCTACCCCACACGCACAGACCCCCAACGTAAGCCCCTTCTTTTTGAGGTGATTCTAAGATCCTTGGATTATCGCCCTGATTCCTATCTAAAGCATAGTGGATCATATTCCAAATTTACTTGGTATCTCCTGATTATGTATTGCAGCTCCTGTTGAGTTGGACATTGATTTCCATGAAGGAGCAAATGAAACAGTCGTCTCTGCCTTCGTCTCTCCCAGCAGGCCACGGTACTTTGTCTTGCCATACAAACTCTTTCAAGGCATAAAAAATCTCTACATTGAGGTAACTATTTATATTATTGTTAGGGCCACAGTGATAAATCTAGGGAGTGTAGTGGGGACAAGCTTTCTCCGAATTATTACAATTTAGTAAAAATACACAGGTGATTATTGAAAATCTCGTGCGCCGATTGGTCGAGAAACTCACACTATCACACGATAACCACCATCAGCGATAATCCAAAATGGCGGCCAGCCGCCTTGTTGCTGTTACCGGAAAAAAATGTCTTTTATCTTCTTCTTCTTCTTCTTCTTCTTCTTCTTCTTCTTCTTCTTCTTCGTCCTCACTCTCCGATTCTGAGTCCTCGCTGTCAAGTTCCTCTTGGGATTCTTCAGCATCATTGTCACTTTCAGTTTCACTATTGCTAACATCCGTATCATAGTTATCCTCTGGTTGCCTGGCAATCAGATCTGCCANAGAGAATAACACGTGGTCTGAAATGGGCAAATCATTACGCTCAAGGTAAAGAGGTCTATTGATTAAGAAAATCAGTAATCCTGATGTGGTATTTCCTGGATATGTCGTAGTTAAGATGTAGATAGATGTAGGTTAAGTCTATGTACAGCACTCCTGATGTAAATTGTTTAATTTCTCGAATTTGTATTGTATATTAAAGGAAATTAACGAGGAAATAGTAAATAGCTATTGTCATGGCTTTGGCGGTTTGGCTTTCCCTTTCCCTCTATCCTTCATCTCTTGCTATTGTTATAATCCTTTTTCTCCTTCTTCTCTTCTCCTCCATATCCTTTTCTTCTTCTTCTTCTTCTTCTTCTTCTTCTTCTTCTTCTTCTTCTTCTTTTTCATTTTTTTTGAAATAATCACCTTTGTATTTATACTAAAACAATTATTTGCCTCAGCCTCAGTAAATAAATATTCCGGTAAATGTCCCCTGATATTCATTTCGCCTTCGGTGAATAACTGTTAAATATTGTATTAGTATTTTTAATTAAATTTAGAAAAAGTTATGCTGTTTATCTTGGCAATGAAAAAGGCATCACAATTAGATTTCTCTTCAGAGAATGTACGATTGATGGTGCGAGTGGATCGATTCTTTCTGAAAAGCGCATTACGGAGAGTCATGATCATCAAATGTACACCGTTCTCATAATGGCTGAAAAGGGCACGAAAACGAGGTCACCCAGTCATTAGTTCACAATACAAGATATAAAAGTACATTAAATGAGCTTATAAGAGAAAAGTATAGAAATTTAACTCTTGTTTTGACCTGTATTCGCGCTATCCACCTTTATTCTGAATGAGCAGCCTTGCTCAGCCTTGCAAGATGACTGGGTGACCTCGTTTTTGTGCGCTCGTCAGCCATTATGAGAAGGGTGTATAGTAATCCTAGTAATTTATATTCGTTTATTTGCATGGTAGGTTACCCCCATATATGGAACAGTAGGCATTTATGCATCGAGGAATCTAGAAACACCTGGCCCACAAAACTATACGTACAAGATAGACCCTCTCAGTAAGTCCCTCTAGATGTACACTTTTTGGGGAAAAAATGGTACAAGTATGCTTTTATTTAGTTTACTTTTATATATTCTTTCTCGTTTTTGCTTATTTTTACTTCCATTTTTTTCAGATGACAGAGAACAAATGGTATTATACATATCTGACCCTTGTGAAGGTAACATGAGATGTAAAAATACAATAAAGAGTTAACGTGACAATGAGATGATAATGATGAAGGGGGAACAGTTCTGATGATGATGATGATGATGTTTAATTAGTTATGATGACACGTGATGATTGTGATGGATGATGAAAACGTGAAGATGATGATGATAGTAATGATTATGTGATGATGATAATGGTTGACGAAGATGTTTTGTTGGTAGTGATGGTGATGGTGAGGATGATGAAGTGATGATATGATGGTGGTGATGCGGATGGTGGTGGTGGTGTTGGTGATGATGATAATGGTTGACCGCGATGTTTGGTGGTAGTGGTGGTAATGTTAAGGATGATAAAGTGATGATATGATGGTTGTGACGAGGATGTTGGTGGTGGTGATGATATGATGATGATGACTGTGGTAATAATGATAATGGTTGACGGCGATGTTTTGGTGGTAGTGGTGGTGATGTTAAGGATGATGAAGTGATGATATGATGGTGGTGASGAGGATGTTGGTGGTGGTGATGATATGGTGATGATGATGATGACTGTGATGATGATGAAAATGGTTGACGGCGATGTTTTGGTGGTAGTGGTGGTGATGTTAAGGATGATGAAGTGATGATATGACGGTGGTGAAGTAATGCTGTCGGCAGTGATGATACTATGATGATGATGACTGTGGTAGTGGTGATGATGATGGCGATAATTATGATGGTGTAGATAATGGTGATGGCAATGATGAACATGTTTATTACAATTTATCAACTGCAGGTTACTCAAACACCACCTGTCCAAACGTCTACCTTGCCATATATGGAGATTCCTCAACACTCTCTTGCTCAGGTACGTCTTTTCTGTCCAATCAATCTACAATTTAAAGATTTAAAGCAGTCGATGGCTATGGGGGATGCTTAATCAAGGTTGATAGTTTTGGCATTGCTGTTACATAGCACATGACGGGCAGTGTCTACCTGTCCTTGTAGGTTAGCACATATATGGTAAGGTCATGAGACATTCAGCTGACTGGTGACATAAAGATAGCTCATGAACCACTGCATTTATTTGTTTCAAGCATATTATTATTGTTATTATTATTTAGAACGTTTCTGCACTCTTCCTAATCAAATCAAGTTCACAATAAAGAAAGGTATGTTTCCACTACGCCAAGTTTGTTAGTGACGAAAATATGGATTCATATTTGGGAAATGGGAAAAGGCAAAGTGAGAATGAATAGATGAATGAATAACTGAATGAACGAAGAAACAAGGCAAACAAAAGAAATAAGAAAGGAAGGAAGGAAGGAAGGAAGGAAGGAAGGTAGGAAGGAAGTTAACAGTACTGAGGAGGAAGAAGACTGAGAAAACAAACAAAGCGATGTCATATTAATTAGTCATTCTAATTTGTACTTCTTCAATTATTATTGTCTTTACACTGATTCATGTTTCTATCGTTTTGCAGGTGTCAAACCGGCCTACGGTACTGCCTGCTCCTCGTTCCACAAATCAGTTTTCCTTGCCATAGGAATCCTTATCGTACAGACATTCAACCACGTTATTATATAAATGAAAAAATATCTTTCTATTTACGTCAAACTGAGTCAATGGACTAGGTTAAGCCAATATACCTTTTCCTTTCCAAGCCAGCATCTTTTTTCCTTACTGCATGGAACATAGAAAAATCAAAGACTCCAAAGTGCAAATTAATCAAATGATTTATCGTTCTGATATGATAGCTATCTAATCTTATTTTATCGTTAATCATCCAATAAATTGTATTATAATAAATCCGTCCTTGTTTTTACGAGGGTAACGCTGACTATAACGAAAATGTGGCTCTGGAATTTGGAATTTAGGAGATGGTTTTTTGTGAAGGGACGAAAACCGGAGAACCCAGAGAAAAACCCTCGAAGCACAAAAGACTGAACCATTAGAAACGTCACCGCGCCCAGCAAAACTCTAACCCGGGTCCTTGMTGAGAGGCGAGCGCTCACCGCTAMGACACCCGTGCTTGCCAAACGAGATACTCACGATACTTATATCTCCGTGAGTACAAAATTTGAGTCCAATTTCCTTCASTCCGTTCCAGTCCAGTCCAAGTTGCACATTTTTGAGTCAGTCATTTCGTAATCACTACAGAATTCAGCATTCTGATTGGTCAAAATGTTTTGATGCACATTAAAATCCAGCCTCTTATCGATATGTATCATATTCTGATCACAATCTCATTTGACGTCAATCACTGACAAAAGATCAAMAATTGGATTAAGTTGTTTTAATAAAAACCGTCAATGCATACAACAATTTTATTACTTTTATTTTTRATTATATCAATATCTTATTTTCGAGGAATTTCTGTACAACCTTTTCGTTATGGAGTTTGGAATGAAGTTGTTTTGTAGGTAAAACTTTTATTATCTATATCTGATTATCTTCATGCTTTGAATTTCTTTGTTATATTATACTTAAGAATCATTTCAAAATTATTTCCTAGGTGAAGGGTCTAAAAATTGAACGGCAAAACCGATGAAAAGAAAGGCAGACCTGAATATTGTTCAAAGGTGCATGTGAGAGATCAATAGACTTCTGAACAATTGTCATGCAAGGTCACAACCAAGAACCTTTGACTTGCCCAGGGTAAGAATGCCAGCTGAGATAAAAATTAATTCGATAGCTAAAAACTTACCACAGTAATAGAAGGTTCAAGGTCCCCAGAAGGAATTCAAATGGCCGCAGGCACGAGGTAAATCAGACTTTCACACAAAGCAAGCTCGCARCCTTATTCCTCTGCTCTGTTTGCTCAAGGCAAGTGTACTTATGAATGTGCCCACGTAAACTGTAAATTGACCCAGCATATTGCATTTTTGCTAATGCATTGTGCTTAAGAAAACACGTTGATGGTCACGCCGTTCCAACCCTAGCAAATCTTATAATTGCATTCTTGAAGTTCGTATGGGTTTGAAATTATTTTCTTCTTTTTCATTTACTGAGTTGATATAGAAAAGATCTCGATTTATGGTGCTTTTTTTTATACATGCAAAACTTTATATAATTTTCGCCCTAAATTATTTTGTGTCAGAGCATGCAATTTTTGTGTTATATTTTATATACTGAAATAATATAACTTGAAGGGTTGTTAATTCTTTATTTTGCATGTACATGTTTCATTTATAGTTGGTTTTTTTTTTTGTTCTGTTTTGTTTTTGTTTTTTTTTTTCTTCTTCTTCTTTCGTTTACTGAATTATGTCTAACCTTCCATAGTTCTTGTTGAAAATATCTTCGGAATTTTTCTAGAGCAATTCTTTTACTGCAACATATCAAGGGACAATTCGTAATCTATTTGTATATATTGACAGATAATGTCAGCCAACAATTAATTTCCTTCACATTTCTACTCCACCTTCCACAGAAGCTAGTCCCCCGCTGTCTTTTAGTCAGTGATGATTGTTTTCGAAAAAAATATCATCTTATTGTACAACAATTTTTTAGGCACTGTATAAAAATTTTGCAAAGTAAAATAGAGCTGTTATGAAACAATGCGTAGCAACGAAGCAATGAGATATAGGAATGTGTATCCATTAAGACATTGATCGATATCTTAGAAGCTGGAAGATAATGTCAGTACTATACGATAAAATCAACCGAGTTAAGAGACCAAGTTGTCCGGATCMTAAAATTTAACGTTAACTTTTCCAATAATGTTAACCAATATATTAACTACGAAATAACTTGTACTGTACGTAAAAACAAAATGGCTTCAACTTCAAAATTCTTTTATCTTAGTTGCTATAGTTACCTGAATGACGTCAGCTAATATTCTGCTTTTTCTTACAACGTAAATACTAGGCCTCAAGATGATGGCGTTGTATTACCTACACTTCCACAGAACCCTTTCGATAGCTTTTTGTTATGCTAATTTTCATTGTTATCTTGTTAACATTTGAATCTGAAAAGAGACTTTGAAAAGGATTGTAGTAGTTTTGGTATAAAACGTCGTTATGGATTGCCTGTGGTAAAAACAAGATTCAGTCGGATCGACCTAAAAACATTTTCCTCTCCTCTAGTGAACAGTGTACTAATTTTGTACTTGCAAGAGTTTACTTSGACTTTTACTTTTTTACCTTAATGCGCATGACCAGAATGACCAGCACTGAACATTTCATGCATCCCACACGCAAAAGAGTATTGTCGGGTGTTTACGCATCAGCGGCGCAAGCGATATATTGGGTTTGCTGGTCATAGCAAGAGGTTAATCATCTACGGTAAAGGCGCCGACTAACCTCTCCCTTAGGCTTCGGCCGAGCTTACTGATCAGTCTATAATTCCTCCCGGGGTAGCGGTGTCGGGGTCGAATTCTCCGGCATAGCCGTAATTCCATACGACGGTTCAGCACTCGATGTGTGGAGAGTATTGTCCTGKATTTTGTATAATCAATAAATGAAATATTAATGATAACTAGTTGCAAGTAAAATGTTGCGAGTGGATGTAATAATAATTGTAATCGTTGGCACGTGTGCAGCGACGGAAGGCTGTAGATATGAACATGAGATGGATGTTTTATTTGTCAACCGCAAACTTAAAGATGATGGTGATGATGATGATAATACTGATGATCGATTTAGGTAGGACTAATCTGGTCAGCAACAAGATACGAAGATCGTTTTTGATTTTTGTTTCAATCCAGTAGACAATTAAACGCATGCGCTGTGGTATTTTCCAGAAATATTGATAAATTTGGTGAATTATACTAGAGTTACTCGTGTTGATCAGGAGAAACACAGGCTTTGCGGACGAGATTGAGGAATTAGAAGAGGAATCATAAATGCACGCGCATGCGCTTTAAATGTAGTTCCTAAGTTTATTTTTTCTGGCCACACTTCTAATTCTGTTTTAGCGTTCATTTTTCTTGTAATACGTATAAAGGAATGTTCTCTTTTCTGCTCTTACGACAAGGAAAGGATATGACTTTTAGATGTGACGTCAATAGTCCTCTTTAAGTTGGGCGTGATGTTTTTCCATTTTAGATGACCTTTCAATTTTATTTTGTTTGAGTACGCGTGTCTTCCCAAGCTTAACCGTTAAACAAAGGTGGAAGTGATAATCTATGGAAGGACACGGAGTCTGAAATGGAAAATTTTAAGCCTWATATGTAAAGAGGTTTAGAATTGCAACATCACTACATGCAGCTTGGGCTGTCTGTAGTTAGATGGCAGAGCAATAAAATCACTTTGCTCTCGGAAATTGATTTCTTTCTCATGTAAAACGATTGTATTGTCYCTGCCATCTAACATGGCTGCCGTCACGTGATGGTGCAAAGCATCTATATCATTTATAAAAAAACGGCTTCCGTGTCCAAAACGAAAACCAGTTCTTTAAAGATTTATCTTATTACAAAAAAAATCTCGATATTCTTTTTATGTGCAAAGTTCTAAATCTATCAGAATTGAGAACAGTTTTCATTTACTTTAGCGGTTATTGTGAGCAGTTGTACGTCATGACAGCTCCCTAGGTTGCACTACCCAAATATGGCCAATTTTTCATTTGTCATTAAAAAGAGCGCGCGTGACGTCAAAAGTGCACGGGCCATGTGACTAGGGCATATTATAAATACCGCTTGTAACACTGCAAAGATTTGAAACTGTTTTAATATACATTTGGTGAGTATGTCATCTCATTTTGAAGCCAATCCAATGCCAAACTACATGTTTCAATTGGATTAATAATGACAGTATTTTTATTGTGGACATTTGGTCTGTACCTAGATCGACTGAGAGCCAAGCAGCAATATGACCAGCCGTGGATATTATTTTGTTCTTGCGGTCTGCATTTTATTGGGTGAGTTTTTGCTCGACGCTTTCTCTTATTAATTTTGCAGGATTTTTACAGTTTATCAAGGCTGAAATGATGCAGATAAATCTTTTGGCGCATTCCTTTAGCAAAAACCAGTGAATACCTGAGTAGCATCAACAATTGATTAGAGCTCCGAAATAATCAGATTATCAAARTGAAAGTCAACGCATGCAATCAACTTTGGAATAGTGTATTTATATGTAATTCAATCATATCTATTTGTAATAGACTCCGTTTAAACTAACTCTAAGCTAAACAGACATTCTTGCTAACATACTAACATAAATACAATGAAAAAGTAAAATGGATCAAAATGTTTCCCCTA